ACTATAATGTTTTCACATTTGACTCATTTTTTGAGTCAAAATAGCATGGGGTATTACCTAGGTAAGCCCCCACCCTCTCTAAGAAACTTGCATAATACCCCATGGGCGTTTATGTGACGTAATACGGTAATAGAAAATTTCACAAGAATTTCAAAATTACCTTGTTTGACAGATAGCAAATCTAAAAATGTACTATGTGCATAATGAACTTGAACATCTCGACGTGTTGATTTTTAAAATTGATCATGTAAATTGTAATAGGGATGCTATTCTTGTAATTCAACCCCCTCTCGATGCAAAAACAATTTAATTTACAGAACATTATTGTAATGATATTATTTATTTAAGTTGTGGTTAATATTTGTATCAAATAAATACAATTGCAATTATTCACAAAATTTTTAATCATTTAAAGCATTTCTGCGGCAAAAATGCTTCGGTTTATTAGAATTCTTAGTGAATTTAATATTTTTTAGTTTAAGATTTTTGGAAAACAAATCCGAGAAATAATCCGAGAAATCATCCCTTCCTTTGACTTTAATGACAAGCATTTGCAGCGCCGGTAGTCTTGAGATGTGAGACAAACACTCGCCAGTCATTGCATTAGCTTTGATGGACAGGTATTGGAGTCGAGGCCACTGTTTGTCGCAATTAACCATTAATTGGTCACTCATTTGCTTTAAATCTAGTGTCAAATGTGTTAATCGGTGGCAGAGTTTCAACGGTTCCAACAATTCCTCGTCGGTGTCCAAAACGATTGTTAAACTCAAACGTTTTAATTTGTGATTATTTTGCAAACCATTTATTAGACTTCCAGTCAATTGATGGCTCCATGAACTCAATTGAAGTGCCAATCGTTGCAATTGTTTGCAGTTTAAGCCAATTGTACGCAAAGACTCAGACAATGAGTTCTCGTCACTCATTAAATACACACCGAGTGTTAGTTCCCTTAATTGCGGTAATCGTGACAACTGTTCAGACATTTCGGTCAACGGCTTATCAAATCGAAGATTAATCAGATCTACGGTAAAGCTCTTGAGTGACTGATTGTGTGCCACGAATGCAGACAACAGTTCCTTACTATCACTCGAATGTGTTCTCAACTCAATTCTCCGCAAATTCTTCACCAATAGTCGGCCGGAAGTGGTGTCGAAGACATCAGATATTCTCATTGTCGACATTTTTGATAATCGCTGGCAATCAATGAGTTCGTGAATCGGAGAAAAAGAGCCAATTTCTGTGACCAATGATCCAAACGTTTGCAACGATTTCGAGCTATCGTTCACTAATTTGGTGCAAATATCTCTTAAATGGCGGCAATTGTCTCGAAATGTGGTCAACACTTCGGGAATATGTCTCTCATATGTGTAACCTATTCCTCGACAGTCAATGGTCTGAATGTTTGCACACTTTATGGCAATTGTAGCCAACATTTGGACGTTAATCGTCTTTCCACTCAATATTTTTTCAATTAAACGGTTGTAAATAAGAATGTAATCAACGCTCTCGAAGACTGTCCTCTGGAACTGTTTGGACACACATTCGTAACGGAATCGGTCCTCAAATGTGATATAAGACAATATGAGTGCACACATGTCATCACCGAATCTGTCCATTGAGTTCTTCGCATACATTTGTGGCTAAAATGTGAGAAAAACTGTTATAAAAATGTTATAATTTTTAACTCAATAAACATTAAAATTTTTATCAAAAACCTGTTGAATGTTGTCTTCGCCGTCATCTGTGGTCTCGAGTGATGCCATCATTTGTGTTATCTGTTGTGCCATATCTTGGGATCAACTGAACTGATTGTTTGAATGAATATTATTTTTGTGACAAAAATGTAATAATATTTACATTCAATGAAAACAACACAAAGACTGACAACACGTCTGACACCTATTGACACATATTTCATAATATTTAACAAAACTTTTTGCCCACACTTTCAATGAGTAGTTAATTGTTTTAATCATTAAATTAATACATTTTAAATTTGTAAAGTATTAATAAAAAACACGATTTTTATTAATATGTAAAACTTTTAATTAAATTAATTGAATCACAATTTTTAAATATTTTCGCACAAATATTGTGAATGAGTTGTAAAAGTCTTTAAATGTTAAATACTATGTAAATGTGTTGTATTGAGTGTGTCTTAAATATGGGACAGTTGGGTCACTTCGGGTACATTTGGTTATTCTGAGAATGAATATACAGTATGTGTGTAATTGTCGGCAGTGTTTGTGTTAACATTGTTTGGGTGAAAATAAAGTTAACTTAATTAAAATATGGCTTAAATTCATGTGAAATTATTTCAAAAATAGATTAAATAAATGTTTAAATGAAAATAATAATTAAATTAAAATTACAAACAAAGTGAATACATTTTATTACAAAATAAGATTACTATAAATTATCAATATATTTATTAGACTATTATTAAACTGATATCGTTTATAACTTATAACTATTAGTTAGAACTAGAAAGATTTATAAAATTAATCAATTTTTATTTTTAAATTATAATTTTAGTTACATTAATTTTAAGTTTGAAAATTATTCACTATTTATTTTTGATAACAATATTTTATAAATTGTGATTTTATAAGTAATACAATATTTTAAGTTATATACTTAATGTTATACATTGAATTACACAATGTTTTAAAATATTCAAATAATTAATTAATTTGTCAATATTTGGGAGATTTATAAACAATAAAAAATTAATTTAAAGTTTATAGAATTTTATAATTAAATAAAATAACCCGTTAAAAAATAAATTATGGTTTTATGCATTCATAATATGTTTAAAATAAATAATATAAAGTAATTGAAATAAAAATTTACTGATTCTTATTCGATAGAAATCCATGAATAAATATAAAAAATTAAATTATTTTACTTTTGATCAGAAAAATGATTATAACTTACGAGACAATTGTATTGATAGTTGTAAATAACAAGAAATATAATGTAATATTCTTATAGTTTATAAGTTATGAATGTTAGCGACGATCATAGGGTTAATAAGAGGACAGGCATTCAGGGATCAGATCACGGATACCAAAGGGAGTAAACGAAGGGATATTCAAACAGTAATTAGAATTTAAAATATTTTTACGACAATAAATCTTTAAGACATTGTTTACATAGATTTCAATGAGTTTGAGTTTAGGTCTTTCGGGGAACAGGTTTTCAATATCATTATCACTGCAATTATTATAATAACGGCAGTGAATGACAAGCGTTTGCAGCGCCGATAGTCTTGAGATGTTATCCAAATACTTGGTGTCAATCGTGTTATTTTCTCTATGAATGCATAAGTATTTAAGTCGTGGCCACTGTTTGTCGAACTTAATCAATATTTTATCTGTAATTTCATTCAAATCAAGCGTCAAATGTGTTAATCGGTGGCAGAGTTTCAACGGTTTCAAAGAGTTCTCATCGATGGCCACAAAGAGTGTTAAATGCAATTGTTTTAATCGGGAATAAACTTTCAACGACTTCAATGTCTTGTCATTCAAATACTTGGACTTTATGTTCAATACGAGTGACAATCGTTTCAATTGTTTGCAATTTACACCAATTTTACGCAAAGCGGGGGAGACTTTGACATGACTTTCAAATATCT